CACGGAAAGAAGCGAGGCACGGAGCGAAGCTCCGGCAGCCTGATTTCGGTGGTGTTTTGCCGTGGGTTTCCGCTGTTGATTGGGAATTGAGGATTCTCTGGTTAAAGGGCTGAATCAGCTTTTGCCAACTCCGGCGCTGTGGTGGTGTGTGACCTTGATTGAAATGTGGGGTGACTGGCGAGATGGACTGGGGGAAATTAAGTATACGGTGAGGGAGAGCGCCCATCCAGTTCGGAGAATCGGAATGGCAGCAAAGCTCAACTCAGATGCGTCACTTTGATATTTTAAAGTTTATTTATAATACATATCTTCAGAGGAGTGATTGATGAGCCAGCCAAGTGCTGTTCAAGAACAGAACAATTGCAGTTTCTTTCTTGGAGAAAACACAGTGGAGACTCCACGTCTTTTACTCCCTGTTCTAAACTTAGTGACTCCCAAGACATTAAACAGAGATGTTGTTTGCTTTAGCATCTCGGCTCTTTCCATGAATGACAAAGAGGATTTGTGCTCCTTACAGATTAAGATGAACAGAAATACAGCAAAACCGACCTCCTTTAAACCCATGCCCCAGTCATAAAAATCTGTGCCAGCACTGCCTTCCTGCTGTCCTGCTCAAGTATTCAGGTAGCTAAGCACAAGTTCAAACTGGAACTGCATTTTTGAGGGAAACACAATTGTGTAAAAAGAGGTGCCTTCTGAAACCTCTCTCCTGTAATTGGTCAGTCAGTCAAGCAGGCAAAAAAAACTCGGACAGACATCTTTCTGGCAAACTACTCGGGTGATCTAAGCCCATATTTTGAAAATAATTGTGTTTATAAGAGAAATGAGAAACGCGAAAGCCAAGGGGCTCAGCCTTTCCTTGCAATAATTTGTAAGCTTTATTGTCCCATTCTTCATCTATACTTGTGCTATTGCCTGCTGTTCTGTGGAAGGGCAATCAATAAATCAGCTCATACTCAAGCTTTTTTCCAACTCTACCAAAACTACAATGTATTTAAGGCTCCCATCAGCGGGTACCATGGGAAGGGCAGGTGTGGAGTGCTCACCGGCATGCCGGCCTGCCAGTGACCAAAACTCCCTCATCTTTGAATCTCTCCTGTGACTCCCCTCCCCATGTTGGAACAGGTTGCCCAGAGAAGTTGTGGATGCCCCATCCCCGGAAGTGTTCAAGGCCAGGTTAGATGAGGCTTTGGGCAACCTGGTGTAGTGGAGGATTTCTCTGCCCGTGGCAGGGGGGTTGGAACTAGATGATCTTTAAGGTCCCTTCCAACCCTAACCATTCTATGATTCTATGATTCTATGTTCAGTCATAATCCTTGCTCTTATCTTGAAAGTCTCACAAGCCATACTCTCCTCGACTAGTTCAGTAGTGTCCCGTCATGTCACCTCCCTGCCCCTGCTCCATGTGTAGCAGCCATCGTGTGTTCTCACGTCTCTTCTCCCAGCCCATCTTCACCCCTTCTTAGGTGGGATGACTTAGGGGTGACTTATGTGTGGCACAGCCTTCCCTCCCACATCTTTACATTCCCTCTTCAGGCCCTGCCTTGAGGCACTTAAGAGTATCAGTCAGATGCTAATCAGAGGAGAAGCATTTATCTTATTTTTTTTAAAAAAAAACCAAGCCAAACCTAACCCCACAATCTTTTCTTATTAGTGTCGTAGCCAACACTGTGACAAGAAGGAAGGGATGATTCTGTCTGAGGCTTTTGACATAATTAAAAAAAAGAGCAGTAAGTGTCATGATAAATAGCAGGGTCACGTTTTTTCTGGTTTCATAAACATGCATCTGGATTAACTCTGATGTGAATTATGCAGAGCCGTCCTGGGATTTACGCAGCGGTGTTGAGATCTCATCTCTGTAGACTGCTTCCAAGAGACAAAGCTCTTGCCACATCAGCAGGCTTTTAGAGGTCTCTGTGCCTTTTCAGTCAACTGCACTTCTCTTTTCAAGCTTTCCTCCTTTTACCTGATTCAAAAAGTCATAAGAGGGCCACCCTCCGGGGACTGTATTAATCCTCTTTTCCCATCTCACTCTGTAGAGCATGCTCCTGGACTGCTGCAACCCCATGGGACTCTACTGAAATACTAAACAGCTCTGACCACATGCAGATTTATTCTTCCACTCTATGCAAAGCAGGATCAGGACCACTGTTTCTGAAGAAAATCTCAGATTAAAAAGAAATACGCCACAGGCACGAACTTCAACAGAGAGACTGCAAAAGGAAACCACCAGTTACCGCTTTCTGTTTGCTTTTACCTGGATGTTTGTGGATCAGATTTTCATTTCCATGAATATTTAAAAGCATTTGTCCTTTTTGCAAAGCATGTTCATATCAAATGCACAAATCCATAAAGTCAACTCTGTATTTTCACAGCAGGGCAAAAAATGCATCAGCTTGAAGTCCAGGAAACTTCTATGTCCTAACGGGCCAGCTGCTGAGTGTGTTAAGAAGCCTCATGCCAAACAAGCAACCAGGTTTTAGACAGGCTGAGGAGACAGGTGTTCATGGCACCTCCAGCACCTTAAGGAATGGCTGTAAGGTGCAGAGGTAACAACTAGGGAGCAAGCCCTGTGTGATCCATCTCCGGAGATGACCCCTTGCCAAGGAAACTTCTGTGCTACAAACTGCCTGGCAGCCGGTGGGTGTCTGTTTAGTCAGTATCTGTGAAGTGCTTCTGAAGCCATTCTGGGGCCATGGTAGTGTCCAGCAGAACAAACCAGCAGACTCAAATTAGCAGACCTGACCAGAGAAAGATTAGACCCTTTCAACATGCCTTTTTTCTCCTGCCATCTCCTGTAAAGGCAACTTACCTTGAATTGCAGACAGTAAGAAAGAAACATGGAGTGATGTATTTCATCATCCTCTGCCGAAGCAAGGTTGTTCCCTACAGCATATTTTCTAGTGATTTGTTCTGCCTGCCTTTAGAAGACACAAGTAATAGCCTTCATTCCTTTCATAAGAAGACTAATAGACATCAACAGTGGGATTTTTTTTTTCTTGAAAAGGAGCCAAATGTCTTTTCTTTTTTTCTTAATTCTGTCTTGCTACTGTTAGTTAATCTTGCAGCAGTCCTTGACTATTTCTCTACTCCTCGAGGCCCTCAAGCTTGATTCATGTCTTTCCTTTTCCTGCCAGATTTCAGCCAACCTACGATATCTTTGTTATTTTAAACTAACCCTCTAAGACGAAACCCTGGCAAGGTAATATCTGTGTCCCTACAGGTATTGTCTAACAAACAGACATTTTACTGGGTGACAACAGAAGGGAAATAGATGGTAAAGCCCATGCTTTTAAATATCGATTCTTTCCTGACCGTTTAAAAATGATTGCAGAGAATTTTGATAAAGGTTCAGACTAAGGTATTGAGAGACAAAGCAACTTTTTTCTTTTTTTTTTTTTCCCCAGAAATAATATTTTAAAAGTACACAGGAGCAGAGGACGGCTGGGGAGGTATAGGGTTAATCTTGTCTGCAAAGCAATTGAGAAAAATATCCACTGGTTTCTGAGGATGCTCTATTACCAGCCTAAGGTAGGAGAGCCTCCAGGGATTTAAAAGAAGTCAATAGTTCTAAAAAAAGACAGAGCAAGCCTTCAGTTCTGGTTGATATTAAGTTAGAGCAATAAGTCAATGTAGCTTTTCCATATTAGCACTGTCTTCAGACTTATGTACACAAAGCTGCTTCTGGTCTGCAAATGAAACTGGCTCCAGGTCTGCGGGACTGTAGCAAACAGAGGATTCAGCAACCAGGGAACTGGGTAGAGGATGGTAATTGGAGCTAGGAGTTAATAGTTGCTTCCTAGTCAGCTGCTGGGGCCAGTGGAAAGATGTTGCCCTACCTCCTGTGTCGGCACAGTAGCTGTGGTCACAGCAGTACAGGTAGGAGGTAGCCCAGGTGTGCCACTGACACCGCATGGAGTGGACATCCTTCCTATGGGCTCCTCTTGGGAGAGTCCCTAACACAACACCCCAACCCAGTGTGTGAAGAGCTGAAGCGGTATGGAGGATATGCTGCTGCCTGTGATCACCTACTTTAAAAATAAATAAGCGTGCTTAGCAGACAGATTTATTACCAGCCATGAGGGATTACAAAGGCGAGTCACTTTGATTCATTAGAGCATTCAGAGAGTTTGTGTAAGTTCCTGGAAGCTGTCTGGGATGGTCTTTAACCATCCTCTTACCGTTACCTGATGGTGAAGGGGAAAGTTGGAAAGCACTTGTGCTGGATTTGTTTTTCCCTGTGTTTGGTAATAGATTTTGACAAGCTGTTTAAAGAACTGAGCCTTCTGACTTGAGCTGTGCCGAGCCGTCCTTCCAACTCAGCTACGCGTAGCCTCTTGTATTCTTTCCTCTCTCTCTATAATATTTAATCAACAAAGCCCTACCTCCATCTCCCCGAGGCCAGAGTAATGCATCTTTCTGCATTTAGAAACCTCCTACCCATGTGAACATGTCCTTTGTGCAGTGATGTTGTTTTAATTAGCCACGTCTCTCTTTTTGGCCAGAAATACATGAAATGAATTCCTGCAGCTTTCCTGCAGCCACAAGGCAGCACAGCACCCTTGATGCCTAGCTCTGGGTGGTGGGAGAGGCTCGCTGACCGGGCTGGGGGCTGGGGTTGAAGGGGGAGAGGAGACAGACTGTGTGCCCGGAGCTGGCAGGGAAAGGGAAGCAAAGCTTGGGCAGGAGAGAGGACGGAGAGGAGGCAACCCTGGGTGACCCTGGGGACAGGCAGGGAGGCAGAAGAGGCCTCCCTAAAACAGGTCAGAAAGCATGGCATCTTCTTTGTAATGATCAATATGTCATGGAAAAGAGCTAATTAAAGAAAACGATGTTAGGCTGAAACTATTAGGACGATAACCCTCCCAAGACCAAACTGAGCAAGGCAACAGTTGAATGCTGGCATAACTGTCCTTAGCTTCAGCAAGACACAAGTCTGTCCCAGGTGGTCTCCTAATCCTACATTCAAAGTGCTTGTTAGATAACATGCTTATTCATCTTTTAGGCTTTGTCTCCTTAAAGTTATATCCGGTATTTTCCGAGTACCAGTCCATTCAAAAAGAGAGACCTCTGAAGTTAACACCTCTCAGAAGCTCCTGCGATGTTCAGCAAATTTCCTTTCCATTAGCAGCTTACTCCTCTTCGGTTTGTAGCATTAGATTAGGAATTTTGCTGAATATTCCTTAAATCTCTAGTCATGTAAATGTTACTGATGGTAAGAAAAATACGCTGTTAACCAATGGTCCTTGTCATGACTAGATCAAGCTATTGAATATGTTGTATATGAATACTGGCTAAGTCATTGTCCATGGCCAAGCCATGCCAACACTTGGGTTCTGTGATGCCTCATCTTCAGCTTTGTTACTAGCCGACACTGCATATTACAGAGGCTACAGGTGGCAGTTTGTGGCGTTTCCATTTTGACTGTGTCATTGCTGTGGTCCTCAGATGAGTAAAGTGTGGGCTGCGTCTCCTCTTGGTGGGAAGTGAAACACTCCGTGAAATGCTCTCTGAACATCAAAGGGAGGCTGGCAAAGCAGAGGAGGGATGTCCTCTGGCTTTCAGTTCTGCCATAAGGAAAATGAACATAATCCTGACCCTAACTGTCCTGTAATTTTTAGTAGCTCTCTTTGGCTTGCAGCAGCGACCCTGTGAATAATGCATGCTGCTAGATGGCTTTCCTAAGGAAAGAAGGCTTACGCAATCATATTGTCTGCCACTACCCGTCTTCTCCTTACCCCATAATAACTCAGAAACCAGCCAGCCGATTTCAACCAAAAAGAGGTCTTGAAGATGCTGTGTTAAGTAAAAAAATAAAAAATGGGGACCATGTAGGGAAGAGACCTCCTTGTAGTGAGGAACATGAGCTCAGTTCTCAGTGCAGGTCTGAGGTGCCACTTGGGTACTGAAGTCCAAGAAACATGTTCATGGAAAATCAGTTTTCGCTGTTTCTGCTGCTCATGCAATGACTTGTTTTCACAGGTCACTCGGGGTGAGCCCCAGAAGTCATGCTCCAAGCCTGTAGCAGACAAAGTCACAGAGAGCTGCCAGCAAATTTGCCAGTGCAGGCCACCTCCACCGTTACCACCGCCTCCTCCACCTCCACCACCCCCGAGGTTGCTAGTGGTGCCAAGTAAGTAGCCGCCAGTATGGTCTTGGTATGCTGAGGGAGGGCAAAGCAACAGGGACGCCTGGACAGACGTAAGGAGAAAGGATGCGGGAGAGGGCACAGCTAGCTCGTTTGTCATTTTCCACTTAGCAAATGGAGGAAAAAGTGTTCTCGGTAGAGATGGAGATCTGTTTTCTGATCAATGAATAATGCTTGGCTTTTGGAGGAAAGCCAGAGAAATTCCCTCCTTTCATTGTATTATATATGATTCCCTAGCTTAAAATGGTTTCCTAATGCCCTAGCCTTCGGAAATGCTTTCTTACAGAGACAGCGCTGTGCTTCTCCTTGAGCTGCATGACCCCCTGTTTCACCAGATGTGCACCTTGGAGATCTGGGTGCTCCAAAACAAATTAATTTATAAGCAGGCAGAAATTCACACACTTTGCCTAGACCATCCTGCAGGCTTGGCTGTCTTCGAGACACCGGAGCTCTACTGGTTTACCACAGTATTGAGCCAGGTTCACTGGTTTTAATTTGCTTACAACTGTAACAACAGTCAGAGGCACATCAGGAGTCAACGGCAAGTAAGCAGTTTTCCCACTAATGCGCATACAGGCTAAGACTCATTTATTTCTCTTCGTACAAATCAGTGCTCCCAAGCGTTACCCAGCCTGTCTGAGCTCCTCTTAATTTCCAGCTGTACATCCCTATGTCGGGCACACCTGATGCGTGCGGTTCCTGCTGGCTAGCTCTGCCAGCTTCCTTCTGCATCAGTATTCCTGTGATTCCTTATGCACAGATCCTTTCTGGAGAGCAATAGCTGTGCTGGTGGTCCTTGAAGAAGCAGTCCCTCCACACTGGGATGGACCTTGCCAGATGCTCCCTGGGCTGGCTGGATGCAGGAACATGGGCTGGACCCTGCGCAAACACTTTTAGGTCCATCCCAGACCTTGGTATTCCAGAAAATCTCCTTAAACTTCTATATTTTTGCAAATTCGTCTCTCCCTAAAAGGCTGCCTATTAATTCCTCTCCTTGCTTAGATAAACTCCCCTGGGAAAAGTGTTGCAAAGTGTATCTATTATCTTTATCAGCGCTTCCCCCAAGGGAAAAGAAATCGTTAGGTAGCATCACTTGTCTGTTTATCTTTATCAGTGCCATCCCCAGATGTGCACAAGACACGAAGGAGGCTTCTGCACAGCTTTTAGCTGGGCAGAGGACAGACAGAATTTTGCAGTGTGTTTTCTGCCAGAAGTGTGCTTCATATTTGTGCCACACTGCAGAAATATAAGGCAAAGGCAGAAAAAAACCCAGTGAAACACTTGGGACAGGAAGTACAAAGATAACTCAGAAAGCAGAGATGAAGATTTTTTAACAGCAGGAAAAATCTCTTTCAATGTTCAGGAAAATGTCATGGAGAGTAATATTGAAAATTCCCTCGATCTTTGTCTCACAGTCAGAAAAAAAAAGTACTTTGCTGCTCTGTTTTCTTGTACCTGGGGTACCCCGTTGCCCTGAGGGAGCTGCTCTTACCCACAGGAGATGTGGCAGAGCCGTGCCAGTGCCAGCCCTTGGCACGGGCACCAGCCCTGCTGCTCAGCAGTGCCAGGAGCAGAGTGGCTCTGCCAGGCTGCTGCTGGTCGGAGTGCGTGGGTTTGTCTCCCGTGAAGTGGGCAGAAAATCATATTAGGAAAAAATAAGGATGTCGCATATTGCAGAAAGAGGAAAGAGAAATCAAACGGGTCTGTGACTGGGATAGCCTCGTGCTTACTCAGGCTGGATTGCCAGGTGTTAACCCAATTCTAAAAATGAGCTATATAAATCCAGATGACTAATATTTAAACAAGCTATTTCATTTCAAATGCAGTAAAAAAAATAGATTACACATTCCTTTCATCAGTAAGCTTTACAGTAGCAATCAAGTGCCTCATCCAGAAAGATGCTTTTGTTATTATCAGCTGTCTAGGCACTGTGATTTAGCCCACATGTACAGCAATCCCCATCCTTGTGAGAACGGGCAAACCTCGTGGTTAAATATTGATGTTACAGACACTGGTTTCAAACAGCATTTAGAGGAGAGAGCAGTAAAGGGGCAAGACAAGCTATTGTTAAGTGGTCGATGCTAGACTTGCACTTTGCACTGTTCAAGTGATTAAAGTTAAGTACTGGAAAGACCTCTGCAAAAAAGCAGCAGCGCTGCAGGTTTTTTACCTTTACAAGGTACTGTGTCTGCGCCGTGAGGCACTTCATAAAGATGCTGCCATTGTTCTCAGAGCTTTGTGAGCCACAAAAGGCTGCAGTCTGCTAGGCGCTGTCCTTAAAAGCTTTTTGGAACCAAACTGAATGTTGTTGGAGGTTTAGATATCTCTACATCCTTCTAAAACAGCTACTGTGGTTTGTGCCTGATGATTAGAGCCAATAGATAATAAATTCCTGTCCATCCAGTTACTACAGACACCAACAGCTCAGTTACCTGCTAAATGAAGCCATCTAGTGCTCTTTGACACTTTGAGCAGAAGACCTTCTTAGTGTCCTTTCCGTCAATCCCACCGAAATGTTTTGCAAACCCTAGATGCACTATGCCTATGCCTATGGGATGGCACTGGGTAAATGTTTGTGAGCAGCTGAATCACTCTCTGAAAGGTTTTTATTGTGCTTGAGGACAACTGAGGACTTTCAGGAACAATTACAGTGCATTTAGTGTCTCTTCAGATGTTTCGATATTGACAGGTTGATCCAGTAACAAATCTTCACTCTGCTTCCTGCAGATAGATTTATGCAAAATCTGTCAAATGTCGTGAATTCCAGAATTCCCATATAATAACTGGTAAATGTTGTGTTTACTCTGAGGGACAAGAAACTAATTCCCTCCACAGAAAACAAGTAGAATCACACACAACTTAGCGGTCAGTCTAAAGTACATGAGCAGTGGTAGAAACACCAACTTTCCAGGCTTTAGGGGGCACCTCATGGTTATAGTCATGGATCTACAACAGGAAGGTGTGGGGGGCATTTCATTGCACCCTGAGGAGGCATGTCATTCATTCAGCAATAAGAATATGGGAGATTATTTTAGATCATGTGGCCCATATATTTCCAAATATGGACAAGAAAATTTTGGACTGGTGAATTCAGAGAATGCCTCTGCCACTCAAACTCCAGACCCCAGGGAAGAAAACACAAACTGTTTTTGTCCACCTTCAGCCATGACCCCAGCCTCCTCTTCTCCCGTTTCTAACTCCTTCATACAGACCACTGGTGTCCTTTCCAACCCCTCTTCTTGCCTTTGCTGCATCCCGCTCTGCGGCTGTCATACGACATTCCCTTGTGGCAGCATATCCATGTGCCTCTGCCTCACTAAAGAGGACTCCTGGTCTGCCCCAGTGAATCCATCCACTTTATGGAATCTAAATAAAGGCTCAGAACAGCCACGCTGGTCCCCGTGGGTGCTGGTTCTCTCAATATTGCTGGTTCAGCCTTGTCTCTTTCTGTAAAGTGGGACACATGGAGCATTTAAGTTTTGAGTTTCCTGAGCTTCATTCCAGGTGCCATTTGTTGGCATCCCACTGATACTGCTGTCTTGTTTGGTATAGATGTGTACCTTAATGAGGGTCTTCAAGGAGAGGGGCTCCAGCCTGTCTTAGAAGTCACTAGGATGGTGGGCACTGTCAGGAGACATGGCTGCTGAGCCAGTTGTGGTTCCTCCAGACAGCCTGGCATATTGATGTTTCCGCAGTAACTCTCCTTATGCAAGCAGCAGCCTGCTCTTTAACCCGTGCCTAGGAAACTGCTCGTCGATGAAGTGAAGGGAAAGCTCATGAGGCTCTGAGGGGCCTAAGGCCAACTAAGCTTAGATGCTGACAGCAAAGAAAGGAGGAACTTTCAATGAAATTGAGTGTGTTCCCTAGATGTGGCTGTAATGACCTGAAAGAGATAGAGATGCTTAGAACCTGGCCTTTAATTAACTGTTTCTTTTTTTCGCTCATCTGCTTTCCTCCTTGTGTCTGGATTTCAGCCAGGACTAAGGCAAGGTGATTAGAGTACTTGTTTAGGCAGCATTTCTAACCCAGCTTCATAGACCCATGAGATTAAGCTAGTTCAAATGATGTTGACCCTTCAAAATCTAAAATACTGATGTTGTCAACCCTTAAATACTTTGTGAGCATGCAGGTTTCTCCAGGGGCATTGCAAAGAAGAAGTGACTTTGTCTGGAAATAGAAGCTAGGCTTTCAAAACAGGAAAAGGTTAAAGCTAGACATACACTGGAGTCAGTCAGTTTTAACCTGTGTAAGTTTTGAGGAAAAAAGAAATTACTTCTTCAAAATAGTACAAGGAAGAGAAAGGATGTTCAGCACAAAGTCTTCACTTGCTGGTTAGTAACATTTGCTGTCTCTGTTCTGCCTATCTCTGACGTTGGGTGAGGAATCCATGGTACTGCCATCTCCTCTCTGGGTGATGGAAGTGTCCAGTCAATCATTGCTTCAGTCGAAATTTAGGGGAAGAAACTTAAATAAAAGTTTTATCAGAGATCATTACAAGCTGTACTAGTACAGCTGAGCCTGGACACATGAACCAACCTCTGACTCATTGGACGCTTGCACGTAGGTAGACAGTGAGGTCTCTACTGCTCCTGACCTCAGTGAAAGTTTGCCCTGAGCTGTCAGTTGAGGTAAAGCACTACTGAGTCACAGCAAAGCCAAAGTGAATGACATCACTGCAGAGGGCTCTAATCTCCAGGCTGTAATTGCCTGATTTTGTTTTTCAAGGTGAAATCTTTTCCTTTATCTTTGGAGATAGTGCATCTAATTAACTAATTATTTGGGCTGGTGAAAATGCCAAAATAAAAATGACCAAGTGCAGGAAGGGTGCAACTTTTTGGCAACTATGTGAGCACAGATGCATAGCTTAATTTCAGAAAGTGTGCAGGGTCTCTTCAGTGCAAGTAGGAAGGCTGAAGACATTCAGATCTTTCAGGACAGATGGTCACAATGAGTGTATATAGACAGGAGTCTGAAGCACAGGAATG